CCGTTATATTTTTTTTTTTTATTTTGTCATTCTGCCTATGCAGCTTTATTAATTTTATATAATATACTTGACAAAAATCAGGTTTCGCAGTCTAGTACTGTAATGTATAATAAACAAAAGTTAGGGCCTACATGTAAAAAAAGTCTTATAATTACATTTTTAAAAAGGATTGTTACAAATAATTAGTTTCCACAAACATATTTATGCCTAACTCATTTACATCGTTGAACCATAGAGAAAATTGAACGTTGAACGTTGAACTTTGAACCTACGTGAAAGTAGCATACAAATGTGTAATTATCTCTTCACGTGAAGTCTAATAATAAGGTTATATTATAGGCCTACCTCGCGTCAAATGAATTGTTTGCTCATAGGATGTTGCACAGTTGAGCATCTTGCAGCAATCAATAATTTTTTATTGTTACTGTTAGGACCAACGGCCCTTCGGACCAAAGGCCCTTCGAAACAAAGAACCTTTGGAGCAATGCACTGACCTCCCAAAGGGGTGCTAGTATGGGCCTACCGTTGAAATGAATAAGAACGTCATTGGATGATCCAATAAAAGTGAAAAATATAGTAAAAAGTCAAAATCTTGCAGTAGTTTTAATAATGAATATATGACTGGACAATTTGATGGGTTATAAGACCAGTTTTGAACATCAAATTTAAGGACACTCAGATCAGTCAGTCAGCCAGCCTCGCCAAGAAAGCTTGCGCTTATTATAAGCATCTATATATAAATATATAAAAATATTGAAATATTTTATATATATATATATATATATATATAATAGGCCTAAATCGTAAAAAAACTAACAATAATCTTCAAGCCCAATACCATATAAGCAAGGCCAAGCTGATTTTATTATTTAAAATAATGCGTTTAAACATACATATTTCGGAAAGTACTTTACCATCTTCAGTGAAACGATTGCTAACATGCAATCTTCTTTATAAAGAGGGGGAACATCAGCGATGAATTGAACCATAGCCATTTGAAACAAACAGCATGACATTGCATTTTAAAGAATCGATTGAACAATAACTGTAAAAATGTAAGAATAGTATTAATAAAGATGAATTACAGCAGAATAATGAACAGCAGAATGGCAAAGTTAAATTAACATGTAAAAGTTGCTTGTTAAGCGAGGGCGTGTCCATTGATATAAAGAGAATGCCACAACAGCAATGTATTCCGATAAAATTTGAATTTTTATTTTAATTATAAAAATTTATAAAATAAATATATGATTAATAATATTGTACATCATGTAGACCTATGTGTACACATTAAACATATTGAAATCCAAAATTAAAACCGTGCAATGCATCAATAATATTTTTGCCTTTTGTAAATATACGCACAATAGACACAAAGAATATTCACAGATTTTCAAAGGGTCGACATGTATAATTAATTTATTTTTGCCATGTTCTTTTTTTACAAACTGACATAGTAAGTCTATTTTTGTTGTATTAGGACGGATCTTCATGAAGCTATTGATTTAAAAGACTGGTCAGGCGTCCGTCGAATCACAAAAGACCACCCTGAATGGCTGAGTGTGCGGGACGATAAAGTAAGTCAATGAAGACGGATGATGAAAATATTAAAAATATAAACAACTACTACGGTATTTTTGTAATAATGATTTAAGTATTTGAAAATTAGAAATTCAACTGCACTGTAGTAATGTTACTGCTTCTGCACTTTCTAACATATTAAATAATATTTAAAAACAGCTATTAATTTACAAACATTAATGCTTAGTTGTCCAAATATCGAGCAAAATCTCATGAATATTGATTAGGCCCTAATATCAAGCTTAGTGATAATAAGAACGTCCTTGACATATTACAACAATGGTCCGAGTGTTACCAAGTGTTCAACAATTGGGTTTTATTTTAGTCGTTAACAACAACCAGGAACAAATTTAAATCACCAAACTACAAAATACTAATTTGCAATCTTTTTATTCAGCTTGGTTACACTCCATTGCTTCAACTTTTAAAATCCAAAGGCACTCCAAGTGTTGTAGCAGAAATTGCAAACAAAACACCAACATCTGTCATCGATATTCAGAATGAAGTAAGAGAAATACTAAGTTGCCCATTTCAAATGTTGCACAAGAAAAAAAAACTACATACTGTAACGATAAATATATGTTAAAATGTCTTGTCTACAATGTTTTTGTTGTATCTCATTATAATTTCGGTATTATTTATGCTTCATCGTTTAATTCATTCTTAATTATTACTTTGCTCTTAAATACTTTCGATAAGTTTTGAAATGTATATAAAATTTAATATAAAATAAATGACAGCAACACTTTTGAGATTAACATTATAGAATTCTCTAGCTTTCGTCCACACAGTGGACTTCATCAAGAGACAGTCTCCTGATGAAGTCCACTGTGGGGATGAAAGCTAGAGAATAATTTCTATATTGTTAGTCTCAAAAGTGTTGCTGTCATTTATTTTATATTGTTCTATAACAAACTAACGCGGCTACACTTTTTTTCATTATGATATAAAATATATAAACCAAAAAAAAACAAACAAAAACAAAACAAAACAAACCTATTGTATTAAAATAAAGAATTAAATAATTTGAAAAATGGTAGATAAGGTACCATGAAGTACAATAAACCGTACATGAACAAACAATTTAGTTTCCGTATTGCTAACTGCAAATCTATCTTTAATGTTTTTAACGATATACCATATTATGGTAACGCAATTTTGTTAACTCTCGTGTCTGATGATGATAATAATAATTTATATTGCAGCAATGCATTTCTTAATTCTTAAAATTCATTTGTTTAGGCCTACGTATTTAAATATAAATTCATTAGTTTCAACTTATTATATTATAAATTAATTTGTCTTACATGCCTAAGGATATTATTCAAGGAGAGCGTGTTAAAGGCTCTTTAAATACATTATTCCTATACAAAACCTATTAATTAGCCTATATGTTATAATCTAGTGTAATATGACTTCATTTATTTTAATTTGTGTATGTTGATTTTGAAATAAAACATAGAAATAAAATGTCAAATTATAATATATCAGGATTGGCGCCACTCATGATGGGGAGGAGGCACATTAGTAGACTCTAAATCGATGAAATACGCCTTTGAACTCCCTAAAATTGTCACAGTTTTTAATTAGAAAAAACAATTATTATAAATATGAAAGATAGACATTCATTTACGGCTGCAGAAAAGTGGTCTTTCATTTGGGGGAAACAAATATAATTAATAATTATCTTTCAGTTCATTTTTTAATTATTATTATTATTATTATTATACTTTGAAAAGAATGGATGGACAGCTCTGCAACTCGCCGCACAACATGGCTATTCTGAAGTCGTCCGTGTGCTGATTTCAAGAGGGTCAAACAAGGACATTCAAATGAAGGTTGTCTTTACGATTAACTATAGTAAAATATGTTGGTTACAAATTTCATACAATTAAAGTAAATTTATCTTTATCAAGTTTCCATAGACTGTAAAATAATAATGAATAAGCTTGCATACGCTATTTATTTTTAACTTAACCCAATATAAGCTGACCGATTAGTTTTAACATAAGTCGGATATGAAAACAAACACGTTAAATTAACAGAATTCGTTGGAGAGAAAACAATCCTACTTAATTATTTTTTTGACAGATTATGAGGCTTCAAAACAAAATCTATTAATTAAGCCGTTCAAATTAATTAATTGTATTAGCTTTGGTGCCATCACTAGACTGTACAACACAAACAAATTACTACACGTCTAAAGACCATATTTAAGGACTAACAAGAAGTACCGTATTTCCTATAAAAAAAAAAACGCCGCAACTTCTGTAGATTATTAAATTTGTGTATACAGCTACTTCTAAATGTATGCTATGTGTAAATTTTGTTATCGTATTTAAGTTAGCTGTTTCAATAATTTATCTGTAACTATATTTTCCTATAGATCAATAAAAATAGCCCTATACTTATTTATTGTTAAGGATAGGCCTAATTTTTTACTGCAATATGCATAATACTGTATATGAAATAAAGATTATTTTAAAAATAAAATTGATGTTAAAATAATAAAATGATAAAACGAATATAGAAATATCAAAGGGTGGGTCATCTAACATTCTTCCTGGGTTTATCTGGGTAGATTAAGCTGTCACCTAGACTCAAGGCTCGACCACGTTGATAACCTTCAGAGGCTTCAGGATGTCGACGCCCAATCATTTTTTTTCTCTTGCTGTGTTGCACCATTTCACTCTTCCCCAATAAATATCGATCTCATCTCTCAATCTTTTACGTTGTTTACGTTGTTTTATGTTTTGCCATCCACTGGGTCTGTTATTGTTTGTATTTGTACTCCTGCTTACTACAATTTCAACAACCAGAATGAAAACCACTGAGCCAAACCGCATTTTTACCATTATTGATATTGATAATAATAATATTAATTTTAATATTATTTTATTTGTTTGTATTCATTCCCCTTTAAAACATGGGTACCGTACGATATCTCGATAATAGTTAGCCTAACCCTCTTCAGTGTAAGGCACCGTATTTTTCGACATTAAATGTGGAATACCCAGGATCTACTTGGCTAGTAGTAGGCACTAGGTTGTGTCGTCAGTTTCTGTGGTTATTTTTTATGGGACCGTCAATGTGTAAGTCTACGTACGTAGGTGAAACGATATACGAGCCTAATGTACTTTTTTTTGGCGATAATTTAATTACAATTCCTCCTGACGAACACTGATGAACTGGCTGATAATATAGCCAAAATTAAGGCTTTCGACCCGCGTCCATAACATACATAGTTTTCCCGTTTCTATTTCATATCCTCTTCGCAGCTGTTGTTTGGTTCCTAATACGATATTTTGGTAATCATACCCTCTTCGCAGCCGCTATTTAGTTCTGAGACGTCTTCACAGCCGCTATTTGGTTCCTGAGACGTCTTTTTGGTAACTGTGCATGCTCGACATGGCTTGATAACGTCTCCCACTCATTGCACATGCTCACTGGCTTTCTAGCATTTCCAATAATATATAGATAATTCACGGAGGTTATTTGGAAACTGCGCATGCGCATTGCTTAGTTCGGAATTCCCATTTCTTCGTAGTAAAAGCTACCGCTTCCTAGATTCATAATGACTAGGAAAATATATACTATTATGTTATTACATATATAATACATATATAGCCTACTATTATAAAAATACTATTACATATAATTAAATATATACTATATATATATATATATATATATATAATATTTGCTTCTTTAACGCTTAAAAATTTATTTATCAACTCTAAATTTGTATGTAATATCTGTCTCTTATACACATCTAGATGTGAATAAGAGACAGTATATATACAGTACATATATAAACATAATATATATACATATAATTATATATATGTATATACACATACATATATATACACAGTAAATAACAAATAAACTAAATAATAACGAACTCAAGATTCTAACTCTCAGTCTTTATTCAATACGTCCGATTCAGTACACAACAATTGTGATCACTCACCCGTAATTACTCCCACGTAATTACTAATACAGGGGCAGATAGATAGAATCGAAAACAGGTACCCTAATCTTACGGATCAGCCCGCTTTACTACTGGAAGTCAATAAAACCGTCCCAGACAAATTCTCAAGCATCAATCTTACCCTCTCCCTAACAGTGCTCAACCAAGGACTTTAACTGTTACCAGGATATAGGAAGCTGGCTGGTTTAACCCGTCTAACTTGAATTAGCCTTATGTGTGGTATTGTTATGCTAATGAGGCAGATAAGCGCAATCTGCACATGCTCAGAAAACTTTCCTTAGCCACACCATGGCCACACTGTGTATCGGCTAGTCGTACAGCTAGGCAGTGGTGTCGAGAGCCAGTAAGGGCCCCGGGGCAACACCTCACATACCTCCCCCTTCATTTGGGACCCCCACTCGGCCGCTCCCCAAATTAAGTCTCCTCCTAATACCCTATTTGTCCAAACCCACATACATGAATATGATTCCATGTGATTATTTTTTTGCAATGTAGATGTATCAGAATAATCTTATGAATAAACGATAATAATTATATATATAATACACGTATATACATTGTTCTTACCCCGAAAATGTTTCATCTTGGTCCTGGCCACTCAGTAGACACGGGACCCGGGGCAGCGATCCCCCCCTCCCTCGACGCCACTGCAGCTAGGCCTAGCTGAGAATTACAGTACGGTAAAACAAAGCAAATTAAGGGTACTAATTTCACTTGGCATGCAAACCAATCATACTTACACACTTTTAAGAACAAACTAATCTACCAATTAAATCACCTGCAAGTTAAGGTATAAGGCAAGTATGTCTACAAATTTGATTTTGTAGTATTAAAATGAACATCACATAGGTTAGCTTAGGCCATGTCTAACCGCTTATAAAAATGCAGAAAAAAGACCCATTACGCCTTTTCCACGAATCGGTAGACATCTTGAAGTGATGACAAACTGCCTAAGTCAGTGGTGCGTAACAAACAAAAGTAAGATAAGCTAGGCCTAGCTGCTTTGCGCCTAGCCGATACGCAGTGTGGCTAAGGAAAGTTTTGTTTTTCTGAGCATGTGCAGATTGTGCTTATCTGGCTCATTAGCATAACGATACCACACATAAGGCTAATTCAAGGTAGACGGCTTAAACCAGCCAGCTTCCTATCCTGGTAACAGTAAAAGTCCTTGATTTATACGTTGATATTATGTCAATGTAACTAAATGTGTACAGCGAATTATGATTAATTTAATTTTCGTTTATTTTTTCTGTAGAAAGGAGTGACGGCTCTGTTTGTGAGTGCTCAAAATGGTCATACTGATATTTGCAAAATTCTCATTGAATCTGGTGCAGATATGCATCTTCAACAAGAAGTAAGTGTGAAACCTGAATAGACCGAATTACGTAGTTTAATAAAAGCTATGGCGTCAAAAACATGTTGGTTTTTGATTACGATTACATTACCAAACACCAGTTTAATGATTATGCATGCGAAAATGGTGTATATTTAATCGCCTAAAATATAATTAATTTTCATTTGTTTATTTCACTTTATTTATAGTCTAATTGGTCAATTACTGGGGATTGTTTAGAAAAATTTACCAACGCCTTTTAAAATGTACAAATAAACAACTTCCAGGCGGTTTAAAACAAAAACAAGTTCGTAAACAATTAGATATATTATTGTGTAGAAAAACAAAAGCTCAATTATGAACTTAGATAATTGTGCTGACAATCAATGCCGTAGCCAGGATTTTCAAACAGTGCGAGACAATGTCAGGGTGGACCCACTTTACGCGTAAATTCAAACAATGTTGACAAATTTTCCAAAAAAATATGAAAAATCTAAACCAATTTTCCTAAACTTTTAACCCATTTTAGGCTAAATATGAGAAATCTGGACCAACTTTTCAAAAAGTCACGGACTCAGTTTATGCATAACATTACATAATTTGGACCCATTTTAAAAAATGTGGATCCATCATTTGTGGACCCATTAGAAAAGTTGTGCGTGACTGTCCCAACTGTCCTAATAGCTGGTTACGGCATTGCTGAGAATGCCTAACATGTTTTATGAAACGTTACGAATAAAGGCGGTAACGAAATCGGAGACTGATAATGTTGCACTGTATATGACACCTCAATTCGTGAAATAGAGTTAAAGTACTAAAAGCAAAAGACAATTTTTTCCAAGGCCAAACGTAGTTGTAAGTTGAAGCATGGGGACAACATAAAATGAGAGAACTACAACGATTCTTGTTTTCTCATTTATTTCACATTGTCGTTCATTGCTTTGGTTTAATGTGATGTACTTAACTATTTTAATGCAAATTAAATAACGTTTTTAGGATGGCTGGACGACTTTAATGACTGCCGCTCACTTTAACAAGTATGACATCGTAAAACTGCTTATAAAAAACAATGTTGACTTAAACCAAGTTAACACTGTAAGTATGGAATTTTTTTAACGATTATCTAATCATGGATGACTATTTGTTTTATTGTTGTTTTTATATTCTTTACTTGTGCTCTGTCAACTGTTGGCATGTCCCACTGGTTTCCATTTTAATATAATGGTTAGCTCTTTTGAGTGTTTAGTATCGCTATTATTTACGTTTTTGTCCTTTTTTTGTGATTTTTCAATTCCTATATAATTACTATCAGTTATAGTAGGCCTAATTATGTCTCACTACATTCCTTATTTTTTGGTCTCTGTTGAAACTGTCTTAGACCTAGCTTCCATGTTTTTAACACCAATTCATTTGCCTTTCTTACTTTTCGTGAGTGAATTTTTCAATAGTATATTTTTTCTTAGAAACTGTCACGGTTAAAACGATCATCTAGCGCTATAATTTGCGTATTTATAATGGAAGCAATTAAGCATGACTTTAATTAGCGTAATCATCGTGTGAGGTGTACCGCCGTATAAAAACAAAGTATGCTAAATCATGCGACACACCTCAAACGATACGAACTACTTACGGTCACGTAAGGGAGGTGTCGTCAAGACAGCCCTCAGTTTAGATGTTCATTTGCCCCCTGTGTCTGTACCTGTGTCTGTACCTGTGCATGTGCCTGTTACTGACCGATACTATGAGAGTTGAATAGTTATGTTACCGTATATGTGCAACGATAAACCGTCAGGAAGAACTATTATGTTGTTGAGAAGAGAAGATGCATACGGAATTTTATTTATTAAAGACTTTACTTTTATAATTTAACTTGTTTTTGCAGTGTACTATTATTTGTCTGTTACCCCATTATGCCTCATCATTACAGTTCACCTTTAGTGTGACAGAAACAAAGCAGGAATTCATAACGGTGATAAATAGAACCAATAGATATTTTATAAAAACGATTATGTTTGACAAACGAAATAAAAACATTAAAAATATTGTTATGTGACAGGATTTTTTTTAAACGTTTCTTAATTTCTTAATTTTGTTACAATATTGTAACCAAGACAGCAGATGAGCCAAGTAAATGGAGAGAGAACCTTACAAACAGTGGTAAGACTGACACTCAAGTTACAATTTATTATTATCGTTAAAAATATTAGGCCTATTTATATTATTTATTAATATTTTCTTATTGTATTGATTATTTATTAATAACAGTGAAGCCAATACCGAGAGCTGCTTAGCTCATTCGGCTTAACAAGCCGTTAGCCACTGTGGATGTGTGCGCTAAACCGTAGGCGATTTTTTTTCCGTACGAAACATTTGCATGAAACTCCACTCGAGCCGTCTCGGATTGACTCAACTCGAGTTGATACGAACAAGAGCAGGCACTTCGCAACATCGTGACGCTCGAGTATTCTATTACCTTTACTGTATTGTTCATTATATAGGCCCTGTCTCTTATACACATCTTTCATTTATATAGAGAACACAACTGTCAGAAATATGTGAAAGAACATATGACAGAACAGAAAGAAGAAATACTACAGATCTTAAAAGGTCAGTTAAACTCCCAGACCTACCAAAATTCAGTATATGTGCAATATATAATAAATAGAACTGGCAATTCCTGCCTCAAGTTTAAGCGAAAAATGATTTTAAGAAGCTAACTAAGAATAATTTTTAATTTAGTGTTCGAGTAGTTTGAAATAATTATATAGTCATTATTGCTGAGACAATTATATACAATTAGTATAGTTTTCTTAGATTTAAATCATAATTTAGAGTAGTAACATTTCGCTTATACGTATATCTAGATAGATAATTTTAAGAAAAATGAAAATATAACGGAACATTATAGCTGTTATTGCATAAGGCGCAAATACCATAATTGTTGGATGGCCACTCTGACGCTCTGCTTTTGAGTGTCAGTGTGGTAAATATAGTTTAAAATGAAATCTTACTGAATTCATAACAACAAATGGAAGTCTCTGAAAATTATGTTCCATATTACATAAAAATTTGAAAAACAGAATCGTTTTTATAACAATGTTGGAGTTCTAAAGATAGTTGCCGACACGAATAATATCATTTGTTAATACTATCATTCACGTATCCTATAATAATATTTATATTTTTAGGTGGGTCGGTACCGGAAATTAATTTTACACCTTCAGGTGAGATCAAGTTTTTTATTACCTGATTTTAAATCACTACTATCTCAAAGGTGCAGTGTATGATGTCAGAATGGACTTAATTGGTTCAATTCCCTAGCACATCAATTGTGAATTTGTTGTTTCACATAGTACGCCTACTTTAAGCGAAAGTTATAATAGTATTGATTGCCTTCAATCAATGTCTTGACAGGAAGGTCAATTCCTTCAGTAATTTCTGCCCATGGACCAGCTGCTGATCAAGTTTACATTAAAGCTTTGAAAGAGGGCGCTGTTGATGTAAATCTAGGAAGAATAAAGGTAATTGGGCAAGAAAGAGTCGGTAAAACCTGCCTCATCAACGCCTGCCTCGGAAAACCGTAAGCACATACAATATACCATAACAAATATATAAATAGTTTTACTTTCTTCATATCATCTACAGCTAATAATACTTTCTTAACATGGCATTTTAATAATAATAATAATAATAATAATAATAATAATAATAATAATAATAATATGATGATGATGATGATGATGATGATGATGATGATGATGATGATGATGATGATGATGATGATGATGATGATGATGATGATGATGATGAAGGTGTTGATAGGTGTAATGGTGTTGGTGGTAGTGATGATGATGTGTTGATAGTGGTGATGATGATGATGATGATGATGGCAGTGATGATGTTTATATTTCTGACATTGATAATTGAATATTACATATGATAAATTTAAAAAAAAATCTTTTACTCAACTGTAAAATTATGTTTTTGTCCTTAATGCATTTACTTAAAAAATGCTTGTTTCAGATTTAACCCTCATGAAAAAACTACTAATGCGATAGCAACAACCAATATTGTAACCAAGACAGCAGATGAGCCAAGTAAATGGAGAGAGAACCTTACAAACAGTGGTAAGACTGACACTCAAGTTACAATTTATTATTATCGTTAAAAATATTAGGCCTATTTATATTATTTATTAATATTTTCTTATTGTATTGATTATTTATTAATAACAGTGAAGCCAATACCGAGAGCTGCTTAGCTCATTCGGCTTAACAAGCCGTTAGCCACTGTGGATGTGTGCGCTAAACCGTAGGCGATTTTTTTTCCGTACGAAACATTTGCATGAAACTCCACTCGAGCCGTCTCGGATTGACTCAACTCGAGTTGATACGAACAAGAGCAGGCACTTCGCAACATCGTGACGCTCGAGTATTCTATTACCTTTACTGTATTGTTCATTATATAGGCCTATGTTTACCTACAATAGGCCTAAGAAATCTTACCGATTTATAGGATGTACCGTAGACTGCGTGTCTGCAACTAACTGTGAGCTTCTTGTATGTTTGTTATCAAATGTAATACTACCTACAACAACAGCTAGTACCCCCTTCTATATGGTGTAGTACCAGTAGTAAATAGGTACATTCCTATCAAAGGCTAGAGCAAAAGATAAACTAGTGGTACTGGGCCTAGTTACAAGCTGAGTTAGGTCCTACCTTCTACCCCCCCCCCCCCCAAGTATATCGTTGTTATCATGATTACTTATTCTATACAATTTTATATTTTTTATTAATATTATTTTAATATTATTAATTATTAAGTGCATGTAAATGAAAAGAAATAACAAAGGCAACGATTTAAAACACTTTGATTTTGGCTTTGCATTCAAATCCCTTTTGAATGAAAATATTCAATAAATACACGGTAAATTGGGGTACTTAAATAATTATCCTAAACCTAGGCCAACTAAAAAATAAAAATGTTCACAATATGTAATTCAAATTCAAATAACACTGTTTATTATTCGTGCAGCGCAATCAAATATTACATATGTCGTTTTAAACGACCCATAATTAGCATGGTAACATCAATATGTTTCTTCAAAATCAGATAGCGAGGAGCAATCCGGTATCTCATTTTGTAGAAGTTTATTGGTTGATGACCATTTGACCTCCAGAATTGAGATGTTCAAGTCGAGTCAGTCGAGACAGTCCGAGTGGAGTTTCATGCAAATGTTTCGTACGAAAAAAAAAATCGCAAAGCGGAGATCTCTAGGCGCAGGGTTCCCGGAACGCCGCCATCAGCGGCGTGTGCGAAGCACAACTAAAGCCGGTTTTCCCGCTAGGCGAATTTATTCGCGCAAATCGAAAGCGTCGGTTCATGCACATGCGCATTCACTTTCTTATCGGAGTTTTTGCGAAGGGAATAAATGCGCAACCAATCAGAGCTCTGGAAGCGAACCGACGCTTTGATTCGCGCGAATAAATTCGCCTAGTGGCAAACCAGCTTTAGAGTCAGAAGTGGAACGTGAAATTTCGATATTGTGTTGTAGTCAGATTTACGGGAAAAACTTCAGCTACCCGTATTTCTTGACTGAGACGTCAGTGGGTGCTGTAATTTTTATGGCAAGGAGATTGTGCTACCCTTAATTCGTATTAAGGGAATCCCACAAACCTTGTTGTTATTAATATTTTGGTTATAATAGAAAATATTAATTTTTTGGTGACGTCACACTCACAATATAGTTAGCATGCATACGTCATAAGCTAGATTACGTCACCTTTTCCTGGTAAGGCAAACTTTCCTGGCGTGCTTTTTTCACGTATAAACAAACGCCACTGCTTTGCACATGGATGCCTTGCCTAGCTAGGGTTACAAGAGCCGCATTGTTAGCATTGTATAATACTTAAGCAAGGTACATCTGCAACTAAATTATTCTTAGTTATTTTATTTTTTTTTATTATTATTATTTTTTCTTAATGTATTTCAAACCAGTCATGCTTGGCTAGTTTTTGATTTACGTTTTGGGAATAGAATTTGGAGAAGGCGTTTGATCAAGTCAGCAGTGGCGGACCGTAGGGTAAATTGCAGGGTATGCTAGGTATTGGCATATCTAGGATGTATGTCCTCCCCTACCCTGAAAAAAATTACTACCCCAGAAAAAAAAAATACTCGTCCATCCCCCAGTTGCGCCCCCGCCCTCAAATCATGCTCAAATTAAAAATCACCTCATATCACCTTATTTTGCCAGTTATCCCCTCATAATCACCGATCCCTCACTTTACCTTCCTAACACCATCAGCTCCCTTCCATTTCAAGACCCGCCACTGATGTTAGGGCCAGCTAGTGATAGGAAAAGTTCGTAAGCCTACTACTATACAAACTCAGATTGCGTTCTATAGTCAAAATACAATGATTGTTATTTTTAATACCGTCATGGTTGTCTCTTCAAAAGAATTATTATTCCTGTATTTTAATAAATTTTAATTCAAATAATAATAATTAAAAGTTTCTTCTATACCCGTCATATGTATGTATTGAATGGAGTTAGCCGTTAACACTGTTGAATAAATATAATATAGATCATCAAATGTACATATACAGTGTTTAAGTAAGGACATGATGGAACATCGTATGCTACCCTGTAGCTTTTCAACGAATTAAGTCCTATAAAATTCATTGTGTAATAAAATGCCTCCGACGGGATTCCAACCTGCGACCTCTCGCTGACAAGGCGAGCGTCATAACCACTAGACCATGAAGGCTTCATGGTTTAACAGGTCCAAATAACCGTCGGGAACATTGTATTACACAATGCTACGCCTCAAGAGGGCGTTCGGCCAGATAAATCTGGCAATACGGCTAGAAATACTGTCGTATATTATATATGATATGAATGGAGTTAGCCGTTAACACTGTTAAATAAATATAATATAGATCATCAAAGGTACATATACAGTGTTTAAATAAGGACATGATGGAACATATGCATGTAGATATATTTAAACTTTAATCGATTCAGATTAGGCTTTTAGAGAGAATACCCGATCGGCAGTGGAGGTCCCGATTTGTGAGAAGGGCATGCGCACATACTCTTGGAAGCATTGCTTCCATTCCAGTGTTAAATTGGCTATTCTGACGCCACCACACGGTTGTCACAATAGCAAATTTAAGCGTTGTAGGGTATGCTCTGACTTCCATTGACTCACTGAATAAGTGATTGGCTGATATCAAAGACCAGCCATGCGGAAATTCTAAGTAGGATGTGATAGGCCCGACTGTGACTTATCCTAGGTACCAAAGTAGGCCAAACATTGAAAAACTTTGCTATTCCAATGAATAGCATTCCACTTGAAAATTTAGGGTGTATATAGAAGATCCTGACTAAGAAATGCTAAATAAAATGGAGAAAAAGTACTACTATATATTTTTTTTAATTTGTTTTAGCCAGGGTATGCACTGCATACCTTGCTTGCCTTGACGGTCCGCCACTAAATTCTACACTACCACAATCAAATTTGAACCAATTTATTCAGGTTAATTGTTTTCTTTAACTTTAACACATTAATCTATATGTATAAATCTACGTAGTCACCGTCATCATCCATGCATTTATAATGAGTCTTAGCCACGAATTAAATTTACTGATTCGTCAACAAGCGTCATGTGACAATTTATCTACGCGAACGCGCGCAACCGTTGACCTATTGCCACTTTGCGCCTGTTTTTCGTTGGATGATGTAGGCTATGTGACGTCCGTTTTCTGAATTCAACTTCTGCTGATACATTTAGAAACCCTAACTTTTAATCTGATCGTGTACAATTTTATGAAACTATGGAAGGTAAGTTTATTATTTGATATACATTACGTTAAATTGTCTTTTAGAAAAAACACACAATAAAAAACACGTCAACAAGCCAGAGCCGTCGGTAGGCCTAGGGCCAAAGCCTGGCCTTGGGCCGGGGCTAGGAAAACACGTCAAGCCAGCCCTAGGCCTAGGTAGGTAGCCAGAGGGTTGAAAATGAAAAGTAGGAACAGATTTTCTAGCAAAGGGAGCACAAAGGCGCACTGGTAGTTGAGGGTCTAATGCTCATGCCCTCGGGGAAAAAAATCTCTGTTTTCTGCAATAGTTTGTTGTTGGTGTTATTTTACGTCAGGTTTTTTGGTTTTGTGACATGGTTCTATCTAAATACGGATCCTAGCTAGGCCTAGTTCTACAGTTATCCTGTGCTGTAGGCCTAGGCCTAAGTGTGTATTGAACTGCGAGGCATTTAATGACAAATACTCCTTTTCATAGTTTTAAATCAAGAACAATCCTGGGAATATCATAATGATAGATGAGGCAAATGTGCCTTGTCTGTCTCATGCTAGCGGCCCTGTATTTGCCCTGGTACTGGCACATAGGCTTCATCTAATTATTTTTACTAGGCCTAATGATTCTTAGGCATGAATACTATTTTTGTATTGCCTGTATGACTGCAGCTTATTTGTGGATTCTATATATTAATTGTTTATTAACTTTTCTTTAATTAATATTTTTGGGTTGATGCCATTAATTGATAAATATATGTTTACTTTTAGTTACCAATGACCTGAGGGAAGAAAGTTCAACAGCATTTAGGCAAGTTCACTGTTCTTCTGTAAAGGCACCCTGTATGCATAATTAAATACGGTAAGTCCAGGCTTTATCTTATTATTATTATTATTATTATTATTATTATTTATACAATATTACGTCATTGTTTGTTGATTATTGAAATGGTGGGCTATCACTGCTATCAGCATGATATGCTAACCTTGTATGTACTGTGTGCGTATGTTTATCATTCCATAATGATCACTTTAAACAGTTTAATTACCTATAATATTTTCATTTATTATTTTCATTATATTAACTAATACATTGCTTTAGAATGGGAATTAATTGTTTTAAGGATGTAAAGTATCACGGCTTCAGACAAGTTATTAGAAAGTTTTAAATTATCATGATAATTTATACTTACCTTATATTATTTTTTCATAAATATTTAACATAGGCCTACACATGTTATTTTTAATAAAAATGTAATTATTCTAATCTGTTGAATTTGTTTATAGGACTAATATTCAGCAGTTCAAATAA